TGATAGGGATTGCATTGAATCTGTAGATTGCTTTGGGTAGTATGGACATTTTAATGACATTAATTCTTCCAAACCAAGAACACTGGATATCTTTCCACTTATTTGTGTCTTCATCAATTTCTTTATCAATGTCTTATAGTTTTCAGTCTTTCACCTCCTTGGTTAAATTTGTTTCTAGATATTTTGTTTTTGTTGATGCAATTGTAAATGGAATTGTTTTTTTAATTTCTCTTTCTGCTAGTTTGCTATTAATATATAGAAACACAACAGATTTTTGTACATTGATTTTATATCCCGCAACTTTACTGAATTTGTTTATTAGTTCTATCAGTTCTTTGGTGGAGTCTTTACGGTTTTCTATATACAATGTCATGTCATCTGTGAATAGCGGCAGTTTTCCTTCTTGCTTTCTAATTTGAATATCTTTTATTTCCTTTTCTTGCCCAATTGCTCTGGCTAGGTGCTCATTTTTTAATTGGGTTGTTTTCTTATTAAGTTTTAAGAGTTTTTGTTGGGTTCTGAATACAAGTCCTTTATCAGATATGTGATTTGCAATAGTTTCTACCAGTATAGATTCTTTTTTCATCCTCATGTCTTTTGCAGAGCAAAAGTTTTAAATTTTGATGAAGTCCAGTTTACCAGTTCTTCATTTATGGATCATGCCTTTGATGTCTTATTTAGGAGTTCTTTGCCTAACCTAAGGTCAAAAGATTTTCTCCAAGGCTTTCTTCTGAAAATTTTATAGTTTTCCATTTTCCGTTTATATCTGTGATCTATTTTTTGTTAATTTTTTTGTGTAAGATATGAGGTGTAGGTAAAAGTTAATTTTTATGCATATGTATGCCTAATTGTTCCAACACCATTTGTTAAAAGACTATCCTTATTCCATTGAATTTTCTTTGCACCTTTGTCAGAAATCAATTGGCTGTATCCATTTATTTAGGTCTCCTTTGATTTCTTTCATCAGCATTTTGTAGCTTTTAGTATACAGATTGCACACAAGTTAGCTTTATGCCCAAATATTTATCTTTTTTTCTTTTGGAGCTATTATTCGTGGCATTTAAAAAAATTGGTTTCTAATTGTTTATTGCCAATACATAGAAATACAAGTGAGTTTTGTCTGTTGACCTTGTATCTTTCCATCTTGCTAAACTCATGTATGCCATAAGCTCTTTGGCAGATTCTTTGGGATTTCTATGTAAACATCATGTTTCCCGAGACAACAACTGTTGTCTGAGAACAAGGACTGTTTAATTTCTTCCTTTTCAATCTGTATACTATTTGTTTCTTTTTCTTGTCTTATTACGTTGACTAGAGCTTTCTGTGTGATGTTGATTATATAGAATTGGTATCATTTCTTCTTTAAACATGGGGGAGAATTTGTCAGTACAATCATCTGGGCCTGGAGTTTTCTTTTTTGGCAGGTTTTAAGCTACAACCTATTTAATAGATATAGATAGAAGAACTATTCAGGTGTGTCTATTTTTTCTAAGGTAAGTATTGGTAATTTGTGGCCTTCAAGACCTTGGTCCATTTCTTCTAGGTAGTCAAATTTATGTACATAGTTTTGTGTTACTCTCTCATTATCCTTATACTATCCATAGAGTTCATAGTGATTTCCTCTCGTTCATTCCTTATACTGTCTTCTCTCTTTTTTTCTTTCTGTCTGTCTAGAAGTTTGCCAAATTTGACCAATTCAAGGTCAAATTTACCTATTTGAGGAATCAACTTTTGATTTTATTTATTTTCTCTGCTGTTTTTCTGCTTTGAATTTCACTGATTTTTGCCCTTTATTTTTTCCTTCCTTCTCTTTGCTTTAGATTATTTTGAACTTTTTCTAGTTTCTTAGGGCAGCAGCTTAGATTATTGAGTTGAAAACTTTCTTCTCTTCTAATACAAGCCTTTAAACCTATAAATTTCTCTCTAAGCATTATGTTAACTGGATCTCTCAAATTTTGATACTGTGTTTTCATTTTCATTCAATTCAAAATGTCTTCTAATGTCTCTTGAGAATTCTTCTTTGACTCATGGGTTATTTATTTAGAAGTGTGTTTTTTAATTTCCAAGTATTTGGAGATATTCTGGTCATCTTTTTGTTATTGATGTCTAGTTTAATTCTATTGTGATAAGAAAACATACTTTCTATGATTTTTATTCTCTTAAATTTGTAAGGATTATCCTATTACTTAGGAAATGGTCTATATTAGCTTGGCAACATAGAATGTCCCATGTACCCTTAAAAAGAATGTGTGTCCTGCTGTTATTGATTGGGATGCTCTAAAAACGTCAATTAGATCAGTTGATTCAGTTCTATAGCTTGCTGATTTTCAGTATACTTGTTCTATCAATTACTGAGAGAGAAGTATGGAAGACTTGGATTGTAATTGTGGATTTTTCCATTTTTCCTTTATGTTCTATCCATTTTTGCTTCATGTATTTTGAAGCTCTATTGTTAGGGACATACACATTTGGGATTGTTATGTCTTATGGGTGGATTAACCCATTGTTGTAACTTCCATCTTTATCTCTAGTCATTTTCCTTGCTTTAAGGTCTACTTTGTCTGATATTAATATAGTGATTAGTGTTTGCATGGCATATCTTGCTCCATCTTTTTACTTTTAACCTACTTGTATCGATACATTTAAAGTAGGTTTCTTGTAGACAGGATCTAGTTGGGTCTTGTTTAAAAAAAATTACTGTGACAATCCCTGTCTTTTTATTGATGTGTTCAGACCATTTACATTTGTTATTGATATGTTAGGATTTAGGGCTAAGATTTTATTATTCATTTTCTGTTTTTTCTCTATTTTCGCTCCTTTTCACTGCCTTCCTTTGAATTATTTGGTTATTCTTTAGTATTCAATTTTAATTTATCTATTGAGGTTTTTACTATATCTTTTTGTGGATTTTTAGTGGTTGCTCTGGGGATTACAACATATATTCTTAGTTTTTCAGTTTACCTGAAATAATATTTTACTACTTTGAGAGTAATGTAAAAACCTTAACACCATGTAAGTCACTTTGCCCTTACCTACATATTGTGTTTATTTTATGTGTTACATCTACATGCATTGAAAACCTCATCAGGCAATGTTATAATTTTTCCTTTCAACCACCGTACAGAGTTTAAAGGAGTCAATTGATTATAATTACCCAGATATTTGCCATTTCCATTTCTCTTCCTTCATTCCTAAGTTGCTTGTTTCTCTCTAGTATCATTTCCCTTCCATCTAAAGAATTTCCTTCATCATTCTTGGTTTTAAGTGACCAATTTATCACCTAGGTTTTTAAAAAATTAGTCTATACCTTCTCTTTATAATGGGAATCTATGGTGGAGACAGGATTGTGCCCTTCAGTGTGTTGAAGGTGATTTCAGGGACTGCAGAAAACAAATGAGAGGGCACCCACAGTGCTTCCCTCTGCCATTGGCTGCAGTGCACAGAATCTTTCAGGAGATGCAGGCTCCTTGGCACGTGCTGAGACACGTGCAACACAACTGGCTGCCAATGGTGTCAATGGCCAGGATGCCCACAGCAGCCTGCTCTGGGGCTTCCCCATGCATCTCTTCAACACATGCAGAGGTGGCCATCCTGACACAAGGAAAGCCCATTCTCAGACACACCGTTTCTAAGATGTGGTGGTTTGCAAGTCTGCTAACGTATAGCTATGCTTCCTTTGTAGCCAAAATTAAGTAGTAAGGATCTTTGCTGAGCCAGTGGAATGATCCATAACTGTCTCAGGGGTTAGGACTGGGTCTCTGTGTCTAAATGATGATGCAGCTTGTCCTACGTGGAGGACTTACCATGAGCCTATAAAGGATGCTAAGATTCCAGTGGTAGATGAAATGCAAGAGGCGAAACCTTCTTCACTTTCTGACTCATTGAGATTCCCGTCAGACCACTGTCCACAAGGGCTGCCTCCAAGAGTTGATCTCAAGTGAATGTTGCCAGAGGGTCTTCAGTAAACTGTTTGTTTGGCACTGATGCACTAATTCTCTGTACAAGCATTGCCAAGACTAAGGGCCAGGAATCTAATGGGCAGGACCAGATTGACTGGAAAAGGATGTATGGTTTAAAATTTTTGCTAAGTTATATGGCCTCTTGCTACTGCTTCGTGTTTTCATTTTTCCTGTTCCAAGGCCTAGTATATTGTATATGCTCAATAAATGTTTGATGACTGACAGAGTGAATAAATAAATGAATGAGCAAATGTCACATTGATTATATGACATTGAGATACTGCCAATATCAGCAACACTAGGCATTACAGTAAAGGTGTTCAGTGCCACATCTGCATTTTCAATTCTTCACATTGAGTGAAGTTATAAAAGATTACTCTTCACAAACCCCTGAAACTGTGAGGCCCTGCAGCTGGAAATGTGGCAGCCAAAGATGCAGTATGGCAGAGTGGAAATCATGCACCATGAGGAGGACCGGCTCTGCAACTTCTTGTGGCCTCAGGGAAAGCCACACACTTTTCTAAGCTGCGGTTTTCTCATCTGGAAAACTACATACTGAATTGTCTGATGGTTTTGAGTTGTACAGGCCTAGGACTCCATCAAAAGAACGTTCTTATAACTCATCTGAGTTGATCACAAGATGTGCGTCCAGGAAGCCTAGAGCTTGTTTGTTTGTGTAATTCCTCCTTACTGCTTGTTATCTGGAGCTCCAAACTCCAGTTTCTGGGGGTGGAGAGATGTCAACTCAGCCAAAGGCATTAGCTCATAGGCTCATATCAGACTTTGGCTGGTCATAACAGGGCTGACGTGTTATCGAATTAGTCCAAAGGCAAACTCAGAGGGCTGGGAAGGGATCGGATCAAGCACAAGAAATCGCTGGTTTGGCAGCAGAGAGGCTGGGGCAGCCTCTGTCTGGCCTTCGCAGCTAGAACCTGACAAATGACTACTTCTTGTGCTTTTCAAGGAGCCAAATTCTGAACACTTTAGGTAGCAGCTGACTCCAGGAGAGTGAACACTGGAAACTAAATCCTTTACGTTCACCTGGAGCTGATTGTGAAATTTTCCGTTCCTGGTTTCCTGGTTGGGGAAGTTCCGTCTTCTTCTCTCACACTTCCCTGGGCAGCTTCCCTGTGTCCTCTGCAGCCCTCCAGCCCCACTCTCTGTACTACTTGGAGGAGGCGGAATGTGTAGATCTCAACTCTGCCCCTTCCCCTTCCTTCTACCCTTCCCAAACACGACGGTCTCTGTCATCTGCCAGACGCTCGTCGGCGTTCAGAAGCTGAGGACGAGAAAGATACATTCCACTGTCAGGGTGGCCACAGATTACCCAACCTGGATTCCTCTCTGATTTGGGCTCATTTAATTATTTATTTTAAAATGAAAATATTTTTATACTACATAAATTCTGTAAAAACTTTACATAAAATGGCCTTTATATAATCCAGCACTTGAGAGATAATCATTATTAATAGTTGACATTTACTTCCAGACTTTAAATGTATATGTAGACATGTATTTTAATATAAGTGGGATCATTCTGTACATTGTTTGATAACCTCAAACAATATATCATACTTTTTTCTATGCTGGCACTTAAAGGCCTACTTTGTAATGACCCCAACGTATTTCAGCATAGGAATACATCATAACATATTTTAACAGTTTTCTATTGCTTAACATTTATTTTCATTTTTTAAAACTCTATAATGATCATTCTTTATTTAAAATTTTTTTTTTGCTGAGGAAGAGTCTCCCTGAGCTAACACCTGTTGCCAATCCTCCTCTTCTTTTGCTTGAGGAAGATTAGCCCTGAGTTAACATCCATGCCAATCTTCCTTCACCTTTTTTATATGTGGGTCAGCACCACAGCATGGCAGATGAGTGGTGTACATCCACGCCCAGGATCCAAACCCACCAACCCGAGGCGCCAAAGATGAGTGCACCAAACTCAACCACTATGCCATGGGGCTAGCCCTGATATAATGATCATTCTTACACCTACATCTCTGTGAGTGAATTCTTGTAGTGCCTGGTGTTTAATATATATTAGTTATTACAATTATTAGCAATCCTTTTTAACCTGATAGCCCTTGACTTTCTTTGAATTTAAATTCAGCATCTCATGTTCTTTAAATTTCATGATCAAATCTTTTACTATTTTTCTACTGAGGAGATTTCTTTTCTTAGGGATTTATAGGAACTCTTTATATATTGAGACTACCAACCCTTTATCTGTCATATAAGTTCCAAAGATTACCCCCAGTTTGATCTTTGCATTTTTGACTTTGTTTATGGGATTTTTTTTTTTGGCCACATAGCAGTTTTTAGAATTTTGTTTTTATGTAGCCAAATCTGACCGTCTTTTATGACTTGTGAGTTTAATATACATTTTAAAGCTCACTCAGTTTTGTAGATATTTTTAATGTTTGTTTCTTTTTATGTATATATTTTGTCTAGCTGGGATCTATTTCTGAACATACTCTAATACAGTGATTTAAATCTTTTCTGAAAGAAGGTACTAAGTTAAAATGAAAAAAGGATTTTTTCTCCATCTGCTCCATGAACCATAGGTATTCTTGCTAACTAGTGGTAATAAAAATAATAAAAACTAATTTTTTTATGGGAACTTGCAAGTTACAAAGCTTGTTTACACACTGTGTCAATCGGGAGTGTCTGTTCCAGGTAAGAGAGAGCCTGACTCAAACTGGCTTAAACACAAGATTTAAGGACTCACTTCTCTGAGAAGACCGAGGTCATGTGGCTTTCAGTGTGGGTCGATTCGGAAGTCCAGGGACCTCACCATCTCTCTTTTCTGCTTCATCTTTAGACTGACACTCCTCAGGTCACAAGATGTGTCTAACAATTTCTAGGAGTTACAGGCTGTCTTCAAAGCTGAGAGATTATTCCTTCGATTGCTCTCTCAGAAGAGTTAGGAAGTTTTTTTTCCCAGATAACAAATTTCTCCTTGCTTTTTCCAATTATAGTGTCAGGGAAAATGATAAGTGGCCACTTTGGATTTAGTCAATCAGAGCCTATCCTAGACCAGGGGACAGGGTGGTGGGGGCACCAGGGAAAGGTGAATAGTCAACCGAACAGAAATTGGAATGGCACAACTAAGAGGAAGGGAGAACGGCAGCTGAGCACTCGGGTTGGCAGAGGTTCACCATCCGTTGTCCTGCTTGATACTTACAAGAACCCTGTGACGGCGGGTGGTTACTCATCTTCCTATCTTTACATGGGGACGCTAAACACTAGAAGAGTTGTGTGGTTTGCCTTCATCACTTGCCTGGTAGGTGGCAAAACTCAAATCTAGATGTTAAATTCTCCGAATTCTCTGTTCTTTTCAATACTCTGAATTAACTCCCTACAGCTTACAACCATCGCTTCCTATATGGGACTGCAGCAGTGCTACAAACTCATTTTTAAAAATTAAAACGTCAAAAGGAGACATGAGCTCTTGGTTATATTGATGGTCCTAATGGGGACAGAACATTATATGAGGTTCCACCATGGCGGCTTCAAAAGAACTAGAAGTGAAGATGCTGTTCTAGCTTAGCCTGGGTTTCCCCAAAGAAGAGCATGGTACGTAGGCTTATGTCTGGGTGGTTTACTTGAGAACGTGGTCACAGGGAGCAGGAGGGAGTGTTCAGATGAGGTGGGAGGATGAGGAGGAAAGCCGGTACAATCAAGGCAGCCATCTCTACAGGTGACTGTTTGACCCCACAGGAGCTTTCGGAAGTCTATGAAATGTGTCGTTGTGGGGTGGAGAGAAAAGGGGAAGCATTTACCCTACAGCTCACATCCCCACTGGTCAATAGTTCCTCCATAGGATGTTAACAGCCCTGCATTTCTTAGTTGTGCATAAGTGAGTGTCTAGTGGGTTGGCTGGACATCCCAGCCAGCCACTGCATCAGAGAAGCCAGGGAACTAAGAGGAGGCACTCTGAAGGTGCTCCAGCATGAAGCTGGTGGGATAGAACTGCAGCCGTGGCTGGAAGGAGATGGGACCAGAGGATTTTAAGCAGGGCACCAGAGGTCTTCAGTACATGATCCATAAGCTAATAATACAAAGCTTGAGATAAGGAAGTGGTACACAAACAAACTTAAATTCCTATTTCCCTAGTTAACATCTGATAAGTTCAAGCCCGGATTATTATGACTACCTCCTGAAAAGGTCTTCCTAGATTTTCTCCATTAAAGTAAAGTGTTCATTACTCCCCACGGCTTGCAGGATTATGTACAAATTCCTTTGCTTCAATCTTCACAATTGGTTTTACTATAATTAAACAGCTGTGCTCCCCATAACTGTCCCAGCTGGACTCAAGCCAGCCTAATTTTCTTACCATTTGATGTACAGCCCGAGATTATTCCTTCTCCGTGCCCCTGCTAATATTGTTCCCTCTTAACTGACCAGGATGATATGCGAAACATTTACCAACTGCTCTGGCAGGCACCGACCAATCAGCATGGAGCCTGAGCCGGTTAGAACTGAGGTCAGATGTAACCGACAACATGAGCTGACCGTCAGCCTGCATCCTCCTGCCTACTGAAACCCCGTCTCTCTGAAGGTCTCCTGGAGTGCTCTTGCTCGTGTTGGTCTTTCCTTCCTCGGGATTAATTACTACTTTGTGTCCTGAATATTCTTAAAGATGTTCACCTGATGGTGTAAGAGTCTAAAACACCTTCACTTTTTTGGCAGCACATTCTCGATTGCCTCTTCATATGGTAACAGTTTCGTGACATTTTCTATACAGAGAATAGAAAGATATAATTCAGTCTTTCCTATAACATGGTTGATCAAAAATAATTACTGATATTTTAGAAAAGTTTCTTACAGCTTCAAAAATTCGTGACTGATAATGACATAAGTTTTTAGAATTTTTGTCATATATGAGGAAAGTCCCTACTAAGTTTCTTTCATGTGTGAGGTATAAAATTTCAGGAGATTTCAAGTCTCCTTGGAATGCTCTTTGAATTGCTTTAAATGTATTCCTGGAAGCCATTCCAACACCAGGATGACCAACAATATTTTAACTGATACAGTGCTTTCAAAACATGGCCCCCAAATTCTTTGCCATTCCTCCCATTGAGAGATGAAGTTCATGTCTCTGCCCCTGAATCTGGGCTGACTTGTGACTTGGTTGTAACCAACAGAAAGCTAGATCAGAAAAAGAGATGCACCTACTGCTTTGTAATCTGGAATTCTCACCCTTGGGGCCATGACCCATCGTGTAAGAAGTCTAGTTGCTCCATAGCCACCATCCTTGGGAAGAAAGCTATGGTCCACAGCCCCGCGGAGATCCCAGCTGACAGCCAGCACCAACCACCAGGTGTGATTCTGGCCCCTGGCTGTATAGTCACCCCTACCATGAGGTCTTCCCAACTCGGGCCCCAGACATTGTGGAGCAGAGACAAGCTGTGCACTGTCTGAACTTCTGTCCCACAGAATCCATGAGCATAAAAGATGGTTGTTTTCTGCCACTGAATTTTGGAGCAATAGTTACGCAGCAGTAGTGACCAAAATAAGTATAGACAAAACAAACAGCGACCCAGGTACACTCATAACATTGTGAAGTCCTGGGTTGGAATACAAACAGAGGTCTATATACCACAGGTCTAAATATTTAAAGATTTTTTGTAAGTTAAATTTTATAAATAAACTAATATTTATAATGTTGTAAGTAAAGCTAATAAACGATTAAATAAATACATTCTCTCCTCCTTCCTTGAAGAATACGCCTTCATAATGACCAGGAAGGCCAGGTTTGGATTTAGAATTCCCATCAAAGGCCAGCCCCTCCCCGTCTTTACCTACCTCCAGCTCCATCCAGCACCTTTTGGGGCCTCATACATATGCATGCCCACGTTCCATTCATACTCCCCGGGAACAGCCACCTCGTACCATTCTTGGGCCTAGGGGTGCAGACCCAGCAGTGGGGTTTGTCATCCACAGGAGAGTAGATTTGACTGAGAGTTCCAAGCAGGCCCCAGGCGCTGGGCAGGAAATCGCGGGATCCCTGGGATGGTGTGGAATCTGGGGCTTGGGCCCTGGGGTGGTCCAACAAATGGTCCTGCAGACTTCCCACCTATGCCAGCCAATGGTCAGAGTTGGGGCAGTCTTGCTGTGGCCCAAGAACATTACTTGTGCTAACCACAAAAATAAATCTTTCTCAACTCAAACGAAATGAATCTTCAACTCAACTTCCCCTTTGCAGTCTGCCAAGAATATCCGTGGCCAGTCCAGTGCCACCTGAGACAAGGGGAAGTGCGACAGAGAGGAAGTCAGAATGGAAGGAGACAGCAGTCTTAGTCAATTGTGGCTGAAGCTTCTTACTTTGGAAAACACCACAGCACAATATGGCCCCAGAGAAGGGGCCCAGTCAAGTAAGGGGCCAGGAAGCTACTGCTTCATTATCTTCTTGGAAGTCCACCTCTGTTTCCATTTCTGGGTTCGTTCATCCGCTCTTGATAGACCCTCTGGGGAAGACAAGATCGTCATCAGATATGGTCTTTGTGATCCAGGAAAGAATTTCAGCTGGAGCAGAGGTCAAAGTTAGTGACCCACGGGCTGTATTTGACCTGCAAATGTATTTTATTTGGGTTGTGCGATGTTTTAAAAATTTTTTCTGAATGAGTGACTAGCATTTAAAAACAGAGATT